CTGTATCCTGGTTGTGACGTAATATCCGATAAGAAAACGTTTATGGACGATTCTACTTGATCACAAAGGGGTGGTTAGATTGCATGTGTTAATGGAAATGGTATGCATATAACAACTAAGAAAAAGAACAAGTAATATTGTTGTTGTCTGAAATAAATAGATACATACATGTGTTGCCTCCCTTGGATAATATTCATAGATAATGTCACGGAAATGAAATGAAGGGAGATTTAACGGCCTTTTTTCTCCAACAGTTTTAGATATTGAATTTGGTTAACAGTAAGATGTGTGCAATGGGGAATTGGCTTGGTAAATTTTCGCTCATTGCACTCTGCATGGCGTTGCCCGTCTTCATTAGCCCACATGGTGCAGAAAAGTAGGACGTAAAACTCCATTCATTTCATTTCATTTCATTTAAGAATCGGATCAAAATTTTGTTCACCATGTAATAGGTTGCATATGAAATAAAACAACATTGAAAGACGTAAAACTCCATCCAGTCCATATTTTTGTAAAACGAGTATTAACAATGAGGAAGTTTATAGAAACTCTTATATGAAGCACTGGCTGAGGTCACAAATAAAAGAGATCTGATAAAAATAGGGTGGAGTTAACTTAGTTAGTATTTAATTTTGAACTTAAAAATCTAAACCGATAATCCACACAAAAAATCTATCCCCTCTGCCCCCTATGACTGCGCCACTGCCATGAAGACGTAAAACTCCACCCACTAGTCTATAAAGTACTGTAGTCCAATTTATGTGAACCGAGATCTCGAATGCACCAGAAGACTTAAAGTGCCAAGCAATAAAGATGGGAAGATTAAAATATAAGAATCTACGCCTCTACTTTTAATTTACAATTTACGACTCTAGTCTAGCAGTAGAATTAACGGCCTATGAAATGACATCATATTTCTCTTTTGAAGAGTGATAATGACTGCCGCTCCGTCGATTTCGTTCTTCGACAACCTAGATAAACCTATATTCTACCCTGTAGCATAAAAGGACGGCCACTCAGTATCGAACTGGGTCGGCTGGAATAAGGAGATGATGTCGCAGGCCTTGCCAATTTAGATAATGCGTTCTTGTCTAAAATGTTATAGCCTATGAAAGGACAAGGCAAGGCTTTCTGGAAATAATTTGATTACTGATAAGTGTCGTAGGCCTTGCCAATATAGATATCCTACACTCCTTTGAAATGACATAATTTATCTCTCTTGAAGAGTGAAAATGACTGCCGTGTTGTCGATTTCATACATTTGGCAACATTTTATACGTCTACAAACGCAAACTAAAATGCCTTAATTTTTATCAAATATTCCTCAGACTGGAAATTTGCCATTTCATTTTGTTTCGATTCGTTTTGATTGCATATGGTAGCACGCCTTGCGCCTCATCCACAGTCCGACTTTGCCTCGCTAAGCCGGTACCAGTTTTCCACGTCCATCTATGTGAACGAAGCTTTAGTGGTATTAAATGTCTGTATTATTTTTATTTACATGTTCCAACAGAGAAAAAATACACTAGTTGTCAATCACGTGTTCTTTAATGTAAACAAAACATGAAAAATATTTTATCAAAGAGTGAATTTGTACGGTATCCAAGATGGCGGTCTTGTTTTAAGGTCGTAACCTCGCTTTACCGGTCGATGCAGGTGGTCAATGAACACGTTCAAGAACATAACAGAGGAATTTCACTAGTTAATAGCCTACAGGAGTTTCATCCTTGGTTCCCGGCGTCAGATCGGATGTAAAGTACGTTTCATTACGTCTGATCAGGCCTGTCGCAACGTTTCCGTTTAAATATTATTCACGCACACATTATTTTTCTTACGAGACCTTCCGGATTGTCGACTCGTAAAAAATCGACGGTTCGATGGAAATGAAAGGAATCGCAATCTTCAAGTGTTATCATTTAATAGGCCTTACTGTTATCACCTCGAGAGAACCTAGTACATTCTTATCCCGGACATCATATTAATACTGACATTGTTATCCGACTGGGGTTTATCTAAGATACTAACTGACACTACAATTAGACTGACAACACCTTCCAACCAGATTCAGATCTACACCTTCTTGGTGTTCTTGATAGCCGCACAGTCATACCCCACCCACGGGCTTATCGCCGATGTTCTTGATGGTGGTGCTAATCAGCGGTCGTGATGACAGCAAATAATGCTGATGTACATACACCTCACAGAAAAGCTCTGTTTTTGACAGCATTCTTTAAAGGGATTGTCAAGAGGTTTTCTAGAAAGATTATGGGTATCGGGTACACTGATAGCATCAATTTGCAGCATTCCATGTTCGATCAGACGTCTGCGGTTCCTGCAATTGTATTATTACTAAGTGTAGGATATGCTTGTATCACATACTCTAAAACGACCCAAAATGGTAGCTAACTTGTTACTGAATCATGGTGTTGTGACGTCACTAAGCCCGAAATGACTCATATTGTATCATAATAGATCTAACTTTTAATTATAATGTTAAAACCATGAAAACAAAATAATCAAGAACAACCAATAAAGATGGTTAACTCAGTGCGAGGAAGATGAAAAGAGACTCAGTTTTATTTCTTCCAATTTTCATGTGTTTCAAGATAAGAAAAAGACAATTTCATGGTGGAATCAAACTCGGGAGTAAAGACAACATTAAAACCTATCTTATAGATAGCGAATTTATTATTCTAGTGATATACCATCCTATTGGCCGATTCAGTAATGGAATTGGTCGGTTGGCAAAATTTTTCAGGGAGGGGGGGGGGGGGGGGAGGCAATCCAATGTCCTCGGGGAGAAGTTGCTCCTCCACCCAACCCCCACCTTCTCTTGCCCCCTGTAGCTAAGGGCGTCATATTTGTGAAGATAAAAAAAAAACAAGAGCGTCATTAAACAGCGTTTGCGAGAACGTTCAAGTAGGATTCCCGATTTAAATAGCGAAGAAACAACGCGACTGCGCAAAGTGATCTTTCTCGCAGTGTTAATGCGACGTGGGTTCGAATCCCATCTGTATATATTTTGGTTAATGCCTAGGATCCAATTCTTTTATAAAATAAACACAAATCATAAAATTTCAAATGACTTTTTTTATTATATATTTCAATATAACATTTTAACAGAAATATTACACGTTTATTATTGCAACATAAACATTGTCACAATTATTGGTATTTAATATGAACGAATACGACAACGTTGCGTTGCGTTTCACTGAAAAATGTCGTTAAAATAGCTTAATGTTTGTCGTAACCATAAAGTAACGCAAAACTGACAACTTTACGTTACAATAACGTTACGTTTTACTGAAAAATTCATAACGTAAAGTTTTACTACTGAAAAATTTCAGTTACCACAGCGTTACATTTTAACGAAATATGACGTTATCATAACGTTACGTTTCATTTAAAAATAGAAGTGACTATAACGTTACGTTTCAAATAAAAATTGACGTTACTATAACTTTACGTTTTAGTTAAAAATTGACGTTACTATAACTTTACGTTTCAGTTAAAAATTGACGTTACTATAACGTTACATTTTAAACGAAAAATGACGTTACTATAACGTTATGTTTCAGTTAAAAGTTGACGTAACCATAACGTAACATTTTGACGAAAAATGACGTTATCATAGCGTTACGTTTCAGTTAAAAAAAATATAAGTTACTATAACGTTACGTTTCACGTAGAAAGTGAAAGTGAAAAAGTGGAAAACTGAGTTACCGTAACAATGTTTAACTGAAAACGCGATGTTATGGACATTTGAGGTGGCATTATGTACATCCCCGATGCCCCTCTCCGACTGGGTTGGACAACTATGCATCCCCTTTTACGGACCACATATATTCATATATTATAGGGAGGACTTGAAAGATATGGCCAATGGCGAAATTTCTCGCTATAAAAAATGCAGTATAAATAAGATATAGTCAATGACGACTGGGCCCTGTTTCACGAAAAATCTTGCAATTAATTTTTTGTCGTAAGTATGGTATTTATGAATGTAAAATTCCATACTTCGACATACTTCTAAGGTAAGGTGTTTTCGGAAACGGGGGCCATGTGGTATAAATAAGATAATATACTAGACGATTTCTAATTTCAACAAACACTGATAAATATCACCATCAAATAGTTCTCTTGGATTCCATCTTTATCAAAGAATATGTCATTAAAAATGTTTCACTTGGAAAGTCTTGTAATATCCCACTCAATGCGTATATGGAAGCCCATGCCTGCCTTAGTTCAACAACGATAAATACATATAATGCGATTTAGATCGATATTAGGGGCCCTGCATCAGTGGCGGAGCCAGGTTTACGTCCGAGGTGCGAAATATCTGAGATTGCCCGCATTTCTAACTTAGTTATGAGATTTTTGCCCGAATAAACTTGCTTTCGGGGCTCCGCCACTGCACTGCATCGACTAAACTCGATATTGAGTAATAGCTAAATGTGTCTTTAGTGGCACATGGATGTATAGAAAGAAAACTCCCATGTATCTAGTTGTGAGTTGGTATGCCTTCCAATTTTCTGTCAAACTTTTCCCAGTGAAACACCTTCTTTGATAAATAATAAGATATCTGTTAAATTCAATATATATACAAAACTATTTACAAATATATGCATCTCTCTGTCACAGTGCGTGACATCACATTTGTCACATCATTATATCGTCACACAATGCGTGACTGTCACATTGTCACACCGTCACATCATCACAGCGTGATCCTACCGTCACGTTCCGGTTATGATCTTGAGGTTTAGTGGTATTTTCATATCAAACGTTTAAGCACTTAAAATCTTGAACGACTGAAGATATTTGTCTTTTACATTAAAGCTTCTTCGCACAACAGTCTTGTGCGAAACTCCCGTACTTGAATCTTTGGCAGTAGTTATGAACTTTTCCAGAAAATTTCCTTTTCTCTGGTACGAAGTTTTCAATTCATTATGTCGCACGTCGCTTGGTAAAAAACGTATAAAAACGCATGGTTTTTTTTATCTGCATTTACTGAGATTGAGCGTTTTCACACACGTTTTGCATTTCACATAGCAACACCAATAGTATTTACATTCACAACGCTCCATAACCTCCATTTTGAAACTGTCATAACCACGCCCACAACACATGACGTCACATCCGCCAGAACCCCGACTAGTTTTGTCGCATAACCTGCAAAAGAAAATAAATAGTGAAATTTAGGTACGCTTTTAAACATAATTTTGAGATGACATTATCCGTATTAATTGTTGAGTCATTGATACAAGTTTTAAACGAAAAGGGCTTAAAACGTCGCCTTGTCTTAAGCCGCGATTTGTACAAGACACGCTTATATAACAGATTTTTTCGAAATCAAATTTATTGATTGCAGAATAACATAAAGAATTGTAAAAATATGAGATTGTCGAAGAAATGTTGGATAATGAAAAATTTTATCAAATCCTGAATAAGAAAATTGAAAAAATTGTAAACAAATTACCTATTATGAGTTCCTATGGAACCACTTTTTGCGTCCGGACTACAATAATCCGGAGATTTAGTATAATAAATAAGTTCATCACTTCTAATTGTTTTTTTATTCTTCATAATAGGAACTAACACTTTTTGTTTTTTCTTTCGTTTTCGTTTCACTTCCACGGCTAATGCGTAACGATTTTTTAAGGTAGCCCCAATAGAGTCGAAATCAGGCAGTGATTTCCAGCATGTTTTTATTGAACACGATCCGGACACACCGTGACATTTACAAGCCGTCGTTAAACTACTCTCTACTATCTGTAAAAGAGAAAAGTAAAAAATATGGAATAAGTATATTTATGAAACGAAAATATAAAGATATCTAAAAATTATTATAATTTTGATTAATTCAAATGTTCTTCTCGTATTCATGTATTGAGAAAGCAGGGTGGGTATGAAAACCCAACCGACTAACAGCACAAACAGGTCAGTTGGGACCAATATTGGCCTAAAAATGGGCATTACTGATAATATGGTTGATCAAATTTTAAACAACGGAACGAAACTATTTAGAAGGTGACTATGATATCATTGGATATCTTTTGAACAAATGAAACACATTTTCAATTCAAAAATGTAATTTCTTAGGTTCTTACGTATGTCGTTAACAATTCGCTGTAGCTTTGGACTATCAGGCCATACATTCATATGCTATATAGATTCCTTCAGAATTGTTATCGAAGGTCGTGAAGATATTTTCTATCTGAACTATTTTATTCATAAATATGAGAGCGATTATTATCATAAATCCATTTTTTACGAAGACAATTTTGGTACAAAGACGGATCTTACCCCAATATGATCCGTTTAATTTAAAATGTCAAACGACTTTATCGGATCTTAACATTGTAAGACGCCGACATAGTGAGCCTATTAAGTAAAATCTAATTGAAATTTGGCTGAATTTGATCGTTATCTGGGTAAGTAATGGTCGTGAGTCTCGGCACACAGTCGCGAAAACTTGATTACTTTGGCCAATTTTCAAAGGTATGCATATTTTGTGACAAAATTAACATATTTTAGCGATAATTCTTCAAAAATTCGCCGATTTTTGAGAATTTATCGAGGGCCATTATGCGGGGTTTATCAGATATCTGTTAAATATGAAAATAAATATAATAGATGCTTATTATAAAGAAATATAAAATAATATTTATCGCACCTTGTTGTTAAAAAGCGCCAGATAAAAGATTAATGGGAGTTAAGAACGTGATAATTAGATCATAAATTCCCGCCATCGTCTGCCCACTAAATATATCATTTTAAGGACCGTTATTTTAATATCTAAAATACTCTGTTACATTTTTCTTTTAAATTTTGCATATCAAATCAATTTAAAGACATGCGTAAGATTAGTCTAATAAAATTAAACCAAACAAACTTTCGTTCCGTCTTTTATCACTTTTAATTTTAATGTAGCCACTGCAGTTACTGCCTACATTGAAAAGTTAATAATAAACGGTAAGTAAGTTTGGTCTGATGTTAATCAGATTGCTCATAAGATCCGAGTTTCGATCTTTTAAGTGTTACTGAAGATCTATTAACGTTTTAATTTAGGCTGAACAATTTTTACATAAAAAAGAAAATTGTTTTGATTTTGTTTATATTTGGATATTTGCCGTCCATTTATTGAATAATGGATTGTGATTTTTGTTTTAATTTTAATTAATGTCAAAAGATGGAATAATTTCTGCTTTTTGAACTTTAAAGGGTTGTAAATTGTTCAAAAAATAGCTTTTTATGATAAACTTATTTCAAAATCTACCCTGTTAATAGCGCAAAATGCTACTTTAACTTATTCTCAGAAGTATAAGCAGCATGTTCTAGCAATTTTTTTTTTTTTGAAGAAGGCACAATGATGAGGTTTTCAGCCTTTTTTTCTGTTACCCTTTTCGAATCCTTCATCGATTTCGTCTCACTTTTTAATCCTTACTTATTCTTTAATTTCCTTTAGCATTTTCCTGCAATATTTTCACGTCAGAATATAGCCTGACTGAATAGCGCAACCTGTCAAAAAAAATGTGTTAGACTACAAGGCGCCTCGTTACCCCCTCAAAATTTCAAAATTACCCCCATGTTCAAGAATAACGTTTTAAAATAGGCATAACGCTGTTTACATGGACGTTATACACGTTTTTATTTAACGTGCGTGCATTAGATGCATTAGCAATGAATGCATCGTAAAAACCGCAGCTAACTTCTGCAATATCTCATCATGACGTAAAAAATATAATCTTTTCCCTTTGAAGACGGCTATAATGCTAGGATATCAGATGTTATACGTCGATAAAAATTTCTCAAAGTAACTGCACTTTGTGAATAGTCATAATTTCCCAAACCATGATTAATCTAACAGAGGTCGTAAAATGTGTAAGGTAACAATTAGATAAGTTATGGCATAGAGAAATGATAAACGTTTCATCTGCAGTGTTTATCAGGCTAGCCTTCTACACACTGTGTTTTTTAAACGTTTTATTGGTATCTAACCCCGGCCATAAAATATCACCGCTTTGATGTTTGATGCAGCGGAAACTTTCGGTCTATTAATTCCATCATGCACGAACGTGCACTGACTAAGTGTTATTTTTATGCGTTATGTAATGGTGATACCAGTGGAATTGAATACAGAAATGGTTCTAATGGTTCTTAATTATCAATTCTATACCGGATCCATTACAACCTCTAGGCTGGCTCGCTAGTATATTGTAGTATAACAATTTAAATAGATACAAATATGGTTTTCATTTATCCCTTAAATCATCTAGTTTGGCTTACTGGTATTAGTTTGTATCTTAAATTATTTTCTATGTTAAACAAGCCATCGATTGTCTCATTTTATTGTTTGACGTTTTAACCAATTCCATATTCTTATTCAAGTGAAAAAAATGTCTTCAACATGTTAAAGAGCCGAAATTTTCAGAAAAGTTCCTGCTTAATTGGTTGCCGGTGTTGGGAGTTTTGGGTTTCTGCAATCAATCTACGTTTTTACAGAATCTATTTATGAACAAATTTGCACTTATTTTTTACTAAAATCTTTCCAGTACTTACTTTTCTACCCGCTGCAAAATTATGTCGATTCATCATGGCTTTTTTCGATGATTTGGATTTCCCTTTTTTAGATTTTAAAGAAGCGTCAGTAAATGCTCTGCCCAGAGCCATTCCAAAATGGAGGTCATCACCACAGCCTCCCCATTTAAAGGCTCCAGTTGGAGCAGTGTTTGGCAGAGCACCACAGCTGCATTTCCTGGTAACGCCGATACTACAAGCTCTGGCCACTGAATGTGTCAGAGCTGCCGACGCGATGCCATATACATACGCTTGTTCTCTTGTACCTGCAAAAGAAAACGGTTTATGTAAAAAAATAAGGAACATTTTTGTGCAAAAACTATGACATGCCTGAAAATAAAGACAACTAATGACAAGCACTTGCATGGCACATACAACATTTACTTTGATGAAGTTGATGATCCAAGAGGGAACAGTTTTTTTGAAAGACAAATGTTAAAGTAGAAGTTTTGAATTTTTTGGAGAATTCATTGGCATTTATATAAAATAACGTAAACGTCAAAACGTCGCCTTGTCTCACTCCGCAATGAAAGTCGTATATTTACGCTCTAAAAAAGTCTCGATCTCGATTGGTCATTCGAACCTTCAGGAAATTATTGAAAAAATTTCTACATTGGCCATTTACAATGTACCATCACATGAAAAAAAAGAAAAAAGTGAAATTTTCGAAAAGAAATGGCAAAGATGGGTACCATGTTTCAATAAAATCGTCAAAATACATTAAGTTAAATTCATAATAACATTGAAAGATACAAGCACACCCATCTGTTTGGAATAAATTTAACAAGTGAAACTGCCAGGTTTAAATCAAAAGAAGGTATATAGAAACTTTAAAACATCGTAAGCTATGGCTGTTCTTCGGTGCATTTCAATTTTATAAATTACGTAGGATGGAAATTCAAGTTTACAGATGCATTTTGAATCTCTATTTAAGATTTTGTCGTAATTTGGTTCGATTGAGTTCATATTGGGCCTATTCGTTTAAAACATTCAGCGGGTACCATCTGAGAGAATCTGATGGATTGTTGGATTCAGCTGACCTAAACGTACCGACGACTGAAAACTGTCAGTTACTACAATACGCCATCAGCTGCTCTTGTGGTGTGTTCGTCGACTAGAGCAGTGTGAATCCACGAACATCCATTTGATATTGATGCAAATGGTTGCTCTAAATAGCTCTTATAATTAGTTCTTTTTTTAATATTTTAGGTTATATTTTTAAAAACACATGAAACGAAATAATAATTGATTTAAATACTGCCAAGAGAGGCAACCTTTTTAAAAAAAATTAAAGCAATTCCTTACCTCTAGATAAATCTCTGGGAACGGAAGGAACCTGAGATATGGACGAACAATTCCACCGCCGATCTGAGAACTGATTTTGACACGTTTCCACTGATAACAAGGAGGCACCAACTATAGTAGACATGATTTCTAAATGTTGTTTACAGATACGCCTTTGTCGCGGTAACAATCCTAAAGCTTTCGAACACATTTTTGGATTTTCCCACGTTTTGTGTTTGGATTTATATAATGCTCTGAAACGATATAGAAATAGCAAAATATTAGAACACAATTTTGGAAATATAGTGAAAAGATAAAGAATTAATAATATATTAGAACACAATTTTGGTAATATCGTGAAAGGATAGAGAAATAACAATTCAAAATATTATGAATTAATAACACTGTGTAATAAATACTGTTATCATAACATGTTTATTATATACAATACATGTTTAGTGAGTTAATAACACGGTGTAATAAATACTGTTATTATAACATGAAACGAAAGGATAACAAAGTATTAAAAATTAATTAATAAGATTGTGCTGTATAGACATGTATTGTTATTATAAACCAGTGGTTCCCAACCTTTTTCAGCCTTCACAACCCGGAGCAATCCCATGGACCTTTCACACCCCAAAAATTTGTTTCATCCACATTTCAGCATGTGTTGATGTGGGGTGCTCTCTCAATTCAAAATAAATTCTTCTCCTACACCAGTTGACCAGGTTGGGAACCGGGCCCCGTATTCTCGAAACGATCTTAGCGCTAGGATGTCCTTACCTTTTAACATTGTTCCTGGGATATCCTAGCGCTATGATCGTTTCGAGAATACGTGCCCAGGCTTTGAGACATATTATATAGTGCTTATTATAGCGTTATTGATTACACTGTGTAATAAACACTGTAAATATAATGCTCAGAAAATGTATTTTGAATTTAGTGGATTAGTAGCATTGTGTAACAACTATCCGCTCTGTAAACACATTTTATTCAATCGATTTAAACAAATTGCGATTTTCCTTTGGTGTGAATCTTTCTCATTAAAAGCTATTTGAACGTAAAACTCCATTTCAATTCTTGTGGAATAATGATGGCTAGACAAAAATTGCAGCTCAATAAATTGTAATTTATTGGATTCATTGGAATGTGTTTTAGGAGTGACGAACTATTTTTGGTACCGGCAAATTCCTGATACTCGTCCAAAAATTCCAAACTTTACGACTTGAAATTTATGAGTTGTTGATTTTATTAGAAATTTGTCTGTATTTGAAATCGGTTTAAAATTTGACGAGCGATCAGCCTGACATGGAAAATTAAAAAAATACAAATTTCGTCAAATTAATCTCTTAGTTCCTATTTAACAACTTTGATTGGCGCGATTTTGATTCAATTCTGTTTTAATACACCCCTAGGAAGTCTATAACTCCGCCATTTTCTATCACAAATCAGACTTTTTATTCACAATTTATGATCAATCCCGCATAAAAAGCTTCCATTTTTCTCATTGACTGCATTTTACGATGACGTTTAACGACCGGAAGTGCGCTTGATGAAATTTTTAACAGACGATCAAAGATGGAGATTTTTTTTTTATTTCGTAGAAGCATTTTTTGTGACTTTAATGAATTCTGTTTTATATCACACATTACGATTTTAATTAAAATTGTAACAAAAAATTACATCATAAAACAGCACAAAGTTGAACGATCCGCCTCGATCAGATAAAAGTTCAAAGAGAGGCTTTTGATATCTTCGTTTCTAGGGGAGAATTATAGTCGATTTCTGTGACAAAATTTAGAATTTATGATTCCATACTGTGCAAGGGCAAACAGAATTTACGAGTATTTGTGTCTGGAGAAAAAATGTTTCGTTTTCTGATAAAATATTTCGGATATTAATAAACCGGTGGCGTACAAATATTAGAACAAAAGAAACGAAGATAATTCTATAAAACATTTCATGACCACTCCTTTTTTGACATCCAGTAATGCATATCGATTGCGAAACTCATAATGATGTACACGTACTGTTAAACATTTGTTCTTATATTTCTTAAATCCAAACATTACTGACGATGGTTCCAATCACTGAAACATACCCAAGACACTACCATGTGACCACAAATTTGAAATGAATTAAATCGTTACTTCAAGTAAATTAATAAACATCAACAAAAACAAGAAAAACATTTTTGATTCAGAGAACTATTCGATTGACAAGATGGTGGACAAGATGGCGACATGGTTTATCCTGTACCTCAGATGTCAGATTTCAGGTTTTGACCGATCAGTGTCAAGAAAACATATACAAACTTTTTTCAACATGAATATTTTTCTTTACAAATCAAGTCATGATCGATCACGACATTTTTGACTCCTGTCACCTCTGCTTGTTCGCCATCGTGTTCGCCATCTTGTGTAGCAGACGACAATTCATCTTGTCAAAAATCAAAGAATTTTAGCCATTTTTGTACACCGAATCTTAAATATTCATTTAAATCATTTAAATGTTTTTCCATTATTCATTTGAGAGTACTTCGCTATATAATTAAGGATTCGTGACGTCACTAAACCGGAAAAGTATTAAGAGTAATATCAAAAGTACTTGACCGATGCATGCATCTGCACCCTTTTCAACCACTCTAAGAAATTGTAAAAATATTTTAGGAGCTAATATATTGCACCTAATTGGTCGCAAGGAAATAAAAAAGAACCTTTTAGCAAAGAAAGGGAATTACAAATTCAAAAATATCTAGTAATAAAAAGTGTATATTGAATGAATGTTTAGACAAAGTAATATGAATTAAGTGGGTTTTATTATACATAAGATAAATATATAAACTTTTAATACACCTCTTAATAGGCAAATATTGGCCCGTTTTTATCGTACAAATATGTACCCTGAATGACTAGACTGTCATACAATAACATTGGACGGTACGCAGCAATATTGACAGAACGTGTTAGATTGTTTAAACTTTCCCCCATTCACTTGCTATAGGGGATACGAATTTTGTCGACATTGAAGCCGGGGTTACATAATGTCCCATCTCCACAATGTCAAAGTATTACGAACCGCGTCTTATACCTAGAAAGCAATAGCCACCTTTCTTGTATCACATCTTCACAATATCAAGCTATGATGAAGTGCGTCTTATAATTTGACTGCAAAAGTGACATCTCCACAATGTCAAGCTATTATGAACTGTGTCTTATACCTTGACACCTTTATTGTATCACTGTTGGTAAATGCAGCAATTTGATTGGATTGTATTCTGTGTCATTTTTGGATTCATTTTTAAAGAAAGTGAAAATATCTCTAGTTGGGGAACAGGACTTTAAAAGAAAAACGTTTCCATTGAAAAACTCCAAGCTTGTTATCTTCAACTTGGTACATACTCTCAAAATTTCACAGAGATTTGTGAATAAACTATCGGGAGTGGTCTCCCTTTAATCTTTAAAAAGTTACATCAACCAATTATCTTTAAGGGTTATCCTAGGTCAAAGGTTAACCATAACCTTACAAATACAAAATACACAAACCGCAATACACTGCCTCATTAGCTTTGTAGCCATCAAAGGGTTAAATCCTCGATTTCCTTTGAACTGTCTAGACTTATGTGTGTGTCATTGTAGAAAATCTTTGAGGAATTTAGGACCAAAGATGGAGTTTTACGTCTTACAAATACACTTTGGGTACCAATTTGACTTTCAACTGTTAACGACCTTAAAGTTTCGTCTCTTTTGTTTATTGGAATTCCGCATGTGTCACGTGATGTAGTGCCTATAACACTTATACTAAGCAAGACCGCGGTAAAATCCATACTAAAATGAGGCAAAGGGGTTTCTGGGTAGATTTAAAATACATGATCTTTCCAGTAAAGCGTTTGCGGCATTTGCCTCCATTACGCTACGGCCTTGTTAAGTAGTCCCATTAGCAGGCAATGGTAAATCCTCTAAAACATAGTTAGTGCAGTTTATTATCATTCTGAAAACAACCTTGACCTTTCACCTTGCCAAAACCTGTAAATACCAAGGAGATATTTTGACATAATGAAGCCATCCTCTCAACACAGTTCTATATTATTATGACGCTATCGCATTATCTCACGATATCTCACGATACCATCTGAGTTTCAACACTCAAGATAACGTCATGTTTTTGGCAGATTTGATACAGAGTAATCTCCCTTCACTGGAACTCTTTTACCAAAGAGATCGATTTATTATTCATGTACCCCATTCCAGAAGTGAACATTGCTTGTTTGCGGAAGGAACTGTGTGCTCAGAGAACAACAAAAGACATAGAGCTTGTTTTAGGCTATGTGGATTCAAAGGGTGGGGGTGGGGGTGGGGGTGGGGGTGGGGGTGGGGGTGGGAGGGTGTCCTAGCCCTAGAAAACCCGTGGATTTAGAAATATGAGCACAAACGAGAGAAAGGGCACATCTGTGGTAAACCCCAGCGAGGGGAGGGAGGGGGGCAGTAGATTTCAAAACCTTACCCTAGCCCTAGAACAAAGAAACTTGGCACATCTGTGGAGGGTGGTGGGTCTCAATGTATAGCCTTAGCGAGATATCGAGTTGAGAGGTGTCAACTTCCCGCGAATGTCTAAACTGGGCACACCTGTGTCAAACCTCAGCAAGGGGCATTGGGCCTCAAAGGCCGACATGTAAGAAGTTTATCTCCACAGATTAGGCAATGGAGGTAAAAAAAAACCTGACATCGCATGGATTCACAGGAATGTCGACCAGTCAATACTGTCTGGGGAGTCTTTTAAAACCTCGTTCAGATTACCGTTATCTTTAACAAAGTCATTGACGAAATTCTAAAAACAATAAGTCAATATACCGCATGTTTATCATTAATCTAATCGCCGTGCTAATCCGGATGTTAGCAGGAAAAGCATTCTTCAAACTTAAATTATCACATAGGGTGACGTAGGGCTAATTCGTACATATTATAAGACACATATTGCAAACTACTAATTCGAGTGGAGGCCCATGGTATTAAGCAGAATGGGGCCTTTTTCCCTAGGAAATATGTTTTTTATAAAGATAGACATAAGATTGATAGGGCCCCAGCATAAATTGTGGACCCTTTTTTCAGGGGGTGGGAGCCCGTGGACTTGGTTCAACTATTCTCTGTGGTAGTTGATGAACTCTGAACCTTTGAGACTTTATAAATTCAAAATTGTGTTTTGATTTAAAGGGAAAGTGTGTCGGCTTCGTAAAAA